AAGTTCTTACGCCATTAATGTATCTAAATGTTACTCATTTTTCAAGGCACGGTTTAGAGTTTACCTCCTAGACAAAGCTTTTTCCTCAAGTGCCACCAGTGAATTTTACTGTCCTGTGTGTCCCTGAAGCTTGCATACCCCAGAGGTTTAGCACAGTGCTTTGAGATGACTGTAGATAGAGAAGAGAAGAGGTCTACGTACTAAGCTCTGGGACACTTAATGTTAGAGGTCAGAAAGACTGGGAACATTGAGCAAGGGATATAGAAAAGGAAAGGCTAAAAATGCAGAACCAAGAGAGAAAGAGTATCTATCTCTCCATAGACCAAGTGAAGAAATATTTCAAAGAGAAATCAGTTGTTAATGACTCGTTATGTCTAATAGATAACTGAGAATTGACCAAAGGATTTGACAAGTCATTGATGAGCTTGGTAGAAATGACAGCTCATGGCCAGGCACAGTGGCTTACGCCTGTAATCCTAACACTTTGTGAGGCTGAGACGGGAAGATCACTTGAGGCCAGGAGTTCGAGACCAGCCTGAGCAACATAGTAAGACCCCATCTCTACAAATAACAGAAAAGTAGCTGGATGTGGTGTCACATGCCTGTAGTCCTAGCTACCAAGGAGGCTGAGGCACGAAGATCGCTTGAGCCCAGAAGTTTGAGGTTGCAGTGAGCTATGATGATGCCATTGCACTCTAGCCTGAGCAACAGAGTGAGACACTGTCTCTAAGAAAAAAGAAATGAAAGCCCAATTGAACTGAGTTCAAGAGAATGGGAGACAGTGAGTGTAAGACAACCTTTTGAGGAGTTTTGCTGTAAAGGATAGCAGAGAAACAGGATATTGGGAAGAGGATTTTTATGGCTAATATTTCTTCCCTGTTATAAGTTAGTGGAAATGATCTGGTTAAGAAAGGAGAAAAAACTGATACCAAAGGTTTAAAAAAGAAAGAAAGAAAACTTGAAAAAAATGCTATTAACTGAATTTCTTTTTTTTTTTCCTTTCATAAATTGTGGAGGGAGCACCATTGCTCCTTAGACCATTATTTGCAGACTTTAGATTTAGGGAGGAAGCACCTGGAAATGTATCGAGGCTGAATTTGAAGAGATAGGACACAGGAAAATGATTAGCAAGTTGTGTGCCAGGTAGGAAGTGGTTCAAGGTGTGAACAGGAGGCATAGGATCAGGAATGTAGAGATGGGCTCGATATGAAAGGTATTGCAAAGGTGTCTCAAAGGTAGAATAACAGGAATTGGCATCTAGGAAGGGTGGAGAAGAAGAAAGTCAGTGATGGCATCAAAGTTCCTAACCTGGCCGATTACAAAGATGAAAATGCTTATAACCAAGATAAATATATGTGGAGGATCAGGTTTTTGCAGATAAGAGAAAGAATTTTGCTATAAGCAAATAGAGTTTGAGGGACCAACCAGCTATCCATGCAAAGACAGCTGATGTAAATTCAGGAAAGAGGAGAAGTAACCATCACATAAATAACAATTAAAGCTAATGGAATAGGCAAGATAGCCTGCGAAGAGAAGGGGGAGGGGTCTGAAAGAATAGTGGCACTGAAAGCAGCACTTCTCAGCTTTTAGGGATCACCTCAAGAGCTCGTTAAAATGCAGATTCACAGACCTCACCTCCCACAGAGTCTGATTCCACAGGACAGGCGTGGAGCCCAGAAATCTGCTCAGCATATGCTCCTCTACTTCAGGTGGTTCCAAAGCAGGTAGTCAGTCTGTGGATCTTG